TCTGGTTTGCTGGGGCGGTGCGCCCCCCGCCGCTTGGCGCGGGTGCTTGGTTGATGCAAAAATAAAAGTCTGGGGAGATGCTGCTGGAGACTGCGTTTGTGGACCAGGCGGAGGCAGGGAGGAAGCTCCGCATGGCAGCAGATGCAGCCCCGGTTCTCCATGAGCCCAGGTGCCAGCTCCCCTGCCTGCTGCCACCCAGCACACGAGGAAGGAGCCAAGGAGCCTGTGCTAGTGGAAATGGCCTCTTTATTGCAGCAGCAGAGGCAGAGCTGGGGCTGGAAAGGACAGAGGCACTCGGAGGTGCTGGGTGGTTATCGCTGCAGCAGTTGCAGGAGGGCAGGTGACACCGCCTGGGTTGTCACTTGAACAGGCTCCCCAGGCTGCTGCAGGGCTGCCCAAGGGGCCCAGTGCCCATCGGAGGTCGCAGAGTGGTGCTTGGCCTGCCCTGCTACACGTCTGTAGCCGGGCCCCACTCGTAGCCATCGTCCTCGTCCGAGTCATCCCGGGCCCGTGTGAACCTCTTCCTGACGGCATCGCGCTCGTATTCCCTAGGGAAATAGGGTGAGAAACTCCCGTGATGCCACTGCAGCCTGAGCAGGACGGGGGCAGCCCCTGTCCCCACAGCACAGGCAGGGCTGGGCAGAGCAGGAGCCAACAGCTCCCGGAGCTGGGGGCAGGACCATGCCAGGCCCAGCAATGTCCCCTCCCTAGGTGCCACCAGGGATGCTGCAGGGGCAGGAGGGGCACATTAACTCCCGGGCGTCCTGGCACACAGGGTACCTGATGCTGTCGTAGTGCTGTCTCCGCTGGCCCTGTGGCTGCTCCTCTATGAACTGTTGAAGACAGGAGAGACTTGGACTGGAGGCAGTGGAGCTGAGCTCTGGAGAGGCAGCGGCGCTGGGCACAGCTGGCCCTGCTCCTCTCTGTGCCCCCACAGGATAGAAATTGCCTCTGTAGCAGAGCTCAGGGCCACCCTCTGTCCCTCCCCAGCCCCTCGTACTGGCGCAGGGAGATGCGCCTGCTCCATCAGGCTGTTTGCTTGGAATGGCTCCGCTGGCTCGGAGGAGCGGGCTAGCGCGGGCTGGTCATAGTCATCCTCTGCCTCGCCATCAGTGTAGGGGCCTGTCTCGCCGTCCGTGTCGTCGTAGTCGCTGGTGGCGTGGCTGTCACAGGTCAGGTAGCCAGAGGTGGCTGCACTCGACGGATTCAGCATGTCCAGGCTCTCTTCTACTCCCCCGTCCACCTGCAGGAGGGAGACGAGCAGAAACCAGGACCTTGGGCGCCGTGGGGACAGACCCTGCCCCACAGGCCTCGCCCCAGCGTCCCCACTGCCACATACCTGCTCCTCCGCCGTCCATATGGGCTGGTTCTGCTGCATCTTGATGATGTCCTTGAGCTCTTGGTACCAAGCGTTGCCGCTGCCGCGGAGGGCGATGGTGGCGGTGAAGAGGTGGCTGCAGTACTTCCTCATCTTGCTGGCCTGCGCGCAGAGGCGCCGCGAGCTCTTCTTGGAGTCGGGCGCCAGCCACTGGCGCATGGCCTTGATGCCCTGGCGGCTCTCGGGCTCGCAGAACACCACCACGGGGTAATACTGCACGTAGTTGAGGCGCTCCACGGCTGAGGGGGTGATGTCCAGCAGCGCGTGCTTGCCCTGGGGCAGGGGAGCAGCCCCGTTGTGAGCAGGGACGGAGGCAGCATTCCCTAGAGGTCCGCCCCACGCCGGGCCTGTTTGGCGCCCGGAACGCCACGAGGCGCGCTCAGGCTCTCACCTTTTCTGCAATCAGCCGCACCGAGTCCAGCTTGATGACCTTGGACGATGCCCCATCCCGGGGCACGCTCTCTGTGGGATAAGGAGATGTGGCATGAGGGGCTGCAGCAGATGTGACATCCCCCATGGCCCTGGGCTGGATCTGGCCATGCCCAGGCCCAAGGAAGTGCAGAGAGGGAAAACAAGGAGGGGGGTTCTGGGGAGACGCTGAGGAAAGAGCAGGACAGGGCCCTCAGTAAAGAGGCACCTGCAGGCCTGGGCATGGGAGCTCCAGCCTCTGAAGAGGTGTCACCCCACAGCGGAGGGCACTTACGAGCAATCTCAAATAGCTGGGGGCACTCTGTGCTCAGCTTCTGCATGGCAATGTCTGTGATGGGGCCCAGAATCACCACGGGCCGCTTGAAACTGGCTGTGGAGAGAACAGAGGCTGTCTTGGGGGAATAGGGGCAGGGTTTGCACCACGCCGGTGGCTGGGCCTCCACCCCGAGGTGCCCGTAGGACTGCAGTCGCTCACAGCACAGGAGGATGAGGACAGAGGCACTGGTGCCCTTGGACGGCCACTCACCTTCCTTCATGACCACCCGCTCGTACGGGGGGTAGCGGCCCTGCTTCGTGAGGGCAGACAAGTCCTCCCGGCTCTTCTGCAGCATCTTCTTGGCTCCCCGCAGACCCCGCAGCTTCCAAAACTCAGCGCGTGCTCCGGAGGGATTGGCACCAGCCGTGGCTTTCAGTGCGGGTTCCAGGCTGGCGATCTGCTCAGCCCTGGGATGGGAGAGGGCTCAGGGCCCTGGGCCTCTGCATTTATCCCTACTGCATTTCTCCCCAGGGAGCAGGGCAGTGGAATTGCCCTGTCTCCCTCTGGGCGCTGAGAAGGGATTTTACCAGCTCACACTTCCAGCTGCAACTCCACCTTAGTGGAGCCCTACACCTTAGTGGGACCATCACCTGGGTCCCTGCCCAGCACTGAGGAGCCTTTCCCTGCCTCTGCTCCTGGCTGCTTCCCTACCTGCTCTGGTTGGGGATGATGCCCTTGTCCAGCTCCTGCAGGTCCTTGCCCATGCGCACAGCCAGCCAGTTGCCCAGCTTGCCCCGGTACATGGTGTCTAGCACATGGAAGACATCACCGCGGACGAAGCTGAGCCCCGACGGAGTGTCCTTCTCGAAGTCAAAGTGGGTCCGGATGTAGAACGAGTCGCCCACGTTGGATGAGATCATCTTCCTGTAAACTGGAGCCCAAGGAACCATTAGGGGAAGAGGTGGCTCGGGAGGAATTTGGGGGTGCTGGAAGGATTTGGATAGAAGCTGAGCTGGCCAGAAGCCTCCAGAGCAGCCCTCACTGCAAGGAGGGTGTTGGAGGCTCCATTTCCTCCCCGCCTTGCTGGTAGCAGCAGAATTCAACCCCCCTCCCCAGCACACATGGGTGGCTCCAGGCTGAGCCGGGGGTGCCAGGAAGCCCCATGCTACAGGACTCAAGGCATAATCAGCCCTGGGAGGGCCTGGTTCCCTCCCATCACCTCTCAGGAGGAAGAGGAGGGGGTAGGGAAGAAGGACCATGTTTGCAGGGAAGGAAGAGTCCTGGGGAATTCAGCAGGTCCGATGCTTGTCGGGAGAGACGGAGGACAGAGACACAGCTCAGTCACTCACTGTCCTGCTTCCTCTGGGTTTGCAGCGTGACCTCTTCGCCCGGGGGCAGGCTCACGAGATACTGCACAGCCTCCTCGCGCGTCACGTTCTGGAACCGCACGTCGTTCACCTGCCCGGGAGGAAAGCACTTGCAGAGCAGCAGGGCAGCAGCAGCCCCAGGACGGCAGCGCCCAGGGAACCCTCGCAGCAGGGCAGGAGAGGGAACCGCTGCCACGGGGCCCTGCTGCAGGTACCTGCAGGATCTGGTCCCCTTCCTGGATGCCCTGGCTGTCAGACGGGCTGCCCTCCTGCACGCCCGACACAAAGATGCCCACGTCGTTGCCACCAGCCAGGCGCAGGCCGATGCTCTTTGCCTTCACCAAG